CCAATGCTCACTTATCCAAACATCATCGAAGACCACCAAGTATCGCTTTTCTTTCAAAACATCTGAAAGCCTTCTAATCATCTGATTTTAATTCGTCAATTGATTCTCCACCAGGTTGAATCTTCATCAGGAGATCATGCAAAACTTCTCTAGGGTTATATTGTTGAGATATAGAAACCCAAGCCATGCAATCAAAACGCCGCTTTACATCAACGTGATTGTATACTTTTCTGGCAAGAGTAGTCTTTCCGATGCCCCCCCATGCCAACTATTGAGACGACGGCATGGATTCCGTCTTCTTTCATCAACTGGACCACGACATCTTTGGAGCTAACCTTAAAGCTAACGGCATCCTCTTCCTCAACATGCGAGAATGTTCTTCTTAATCGCTGCTGCATACTGGAAAGTGGAAATAGAGCCAGAGTCTGCTGCATCCCCAGGTATCTCAAAGGCTGGAAGAGTATCGCAAATGCTTTTAAGCTTGGTTTCGATTGCTTGGGTATGCACTCCGATTTTGTGTAGATGAGAAGGCTTGGTGAATCTCTTGACAACTCCATGAAAACCTCCCTGATGGGCAGCTTTAAGAAAGCCACCTTGGTGTGCACGTTCAAGAATGAATGAGTCGATGACATCTTCAGCATCGTAAGCAAGATCTCTGATTTCTGACACCCGATTACGGAGACGCTTGTCTTGTTCCGGCTGACAGTCAACGTTCTCCAAGAAACACTGCATACGCTTTAGTTTGTCCTTGAGACTCTCAACTTGTTCTTTCACATCTTTCAGGAAAAGTGCTTCATTGATGAGTAAATCGGAAATTCTTTGAACAGCCAACGACACAATAGCGTCTGATATTTTCTTTTTGATGATCGGAAACAGAATCCTGAAATGGAGCAAATTCGATTGCATTTTCACTAACACCAGAGTCGCAATAACCATCTTCACAGCTTTCCTCATTGCAGCTTTTGTTCTCCGGAAAAGACTTCAGCATTGCTTCTTACCATAACTTTCACCCATTCAACCTTCCCATGAAATCCATATAACCTCCTTTTCTTTTCTTTACTTTTCATTTTTCTCTTATTAAAAGCAAAACTCAATGAAAATTCTTCGACTGCTTCCTTTTGTGTCCGTCGGGTTCCATATCGATTTGAATTATTCTCGGACATTTACTGTAAAATAATCTCGATCAATTTGTTACTTTTGAAACTTCAGTGAAAAAATGAATACTTATTCAAATATTAGTTATCATTAGTGTAGTTTATCCTTTTTAATTTTATATATTCATTGTTTCATGACAACGATCCGTTAAAAAGTCTAATGACAGTTAATCATCAGTAACCACATCTTAATTAAATAAAAACGAAAGTGATAAAATATTATTTTTTTTAATTCAATGACGAAAAATATAAAAAATTTAAACGGAAGTGATCGATTATGTAGTTTACCCCTTTTAATATATAGAGCAAAATCATGGCTAACTGGACTTGTTTTAATATATATGATTAGGTATACAAACAATCAAACTAACATAAATGAAAGTACGTTCATGTTCGTTCGTTTAACTTTAATTGAACAAATTAACGAACACTAACAACTAAATGTACATAATTTTTCTATTTGTATTCCCTCGTAAAGAAATGTAGCTTATTTGTGTACTTTCTTTTCATTTGTTAAAACGGTACGTAAACAAACGTAAACAAACATGAATTTAAATGATTTTTAAGTATTTTTTTCAATCTATTGTGAAATGAAAGGAAATACGTATGCGAATAAATTTAAATGAACATAAACAAACGAATATAAAAAAACATAAACAAATGGATTATTGAATGCTCATAAACATAAATGAAAAAACGGGTCATTTGTTATTGTTCATTCGTCTAGTTAAACAAACTGAAAATCTTATTCATGTTCGTTCCTTTAGTAAATAAACATACATAAACGAATTTTTCACCAAACGTTTCATGAACGGTTTATTTTATTTTAGTCCTTAATTGTGTCAACTTACATAGAAGGCAACTATTTTTTTTGGAAAGAATCTCATTTCAAAAAAAAAATTGTAAAGAATATTATTTTCATAATTAATTTTTATTCGATATTTAGGTAAAATTAGTCATATACTTGGGGTATAAATGTATCGAGTTTGAAAGAATAAGATAATATTCATGTTCATTTGTTTATTTTTAAATTTTTCATGTTCGATTAGTGTTCGTTTAATTGTTAATATTGTGTTCGTATTCGTTTATTTCTTTTTGAAAGTGTTTGTGTTTGTCCATTTAGCGTTCATGAACATGTTCATTTAACATTCGTTTAGTGTTCGTTTTTATGTTCGCGAACATTTTCATTTAGCATTAGCAAATAAGCTAAAAAATGGTAATGTTGTCTCACTAGTGCTTGAAATCCTTAAGCTTCATAGTTTAAATTCTAAATTTTATCATGTTTTCAATTTAGTCCCTACATTCACCAATATTTAAAATTTAAAAAATACAAATTAAAAGAGCTTCTAAACACTCATTAAATGAGCATGTTCGTGAATATAAACAAACGAGCCAATAAACTAATTTGTTTATGAACATAAACGAATTGAACACATCTCTATTCGTGTTAGTTCGTTTATTAAATTAACATAAAAAATTGTTCATACTCTTTTATTTAACTTAACAAATGAACATAAACAAACATTATTAAAATAGTTTACCTAACATTCTATTTATTTACAGCCCTACATATACCTGTCCAAAGTAATATGAAGCAGACATGGGTTCCAGACCAGGTCATGTACAACCCATATAGGTTTACACACACAAAATGTATGAAAGTGCGAAAATTTATAAATATATTAAAATTTATATTTCATGTATATGTTTAAGTTAAATTTATATTTCATTATTTAAATCCATATTAATCTTATTTTTATTTAATTTATATTTAATTCATATTAATCTTATTGTTATTTAATTTATATTTAATTCATATAAAGTAACCAAAATATTAATTTTACAAGAAGAAAAATAAAATAAAAGAATTGCGTGATCACCAACGTTCAAAGTTTTGAACCCAACAACAATCAACGGGCTGCAACTCTTTTAAGCCCACTCTCTTTTAGACCCTACACCGAACTTTCCTCCATAAATAAATAAATAATTATATTGGTATAAATATGTTTTTATATTTTTTAAAGAAATTAAAAATTAAAAATTATAAAATATTTATTAAGTTATTTGTGTAAAAAATTATTAAAAATATATAAATTATAAATAATAATTTTTTATGATTTTTCATGTAAATATTTTTTATTTTAATATTGAGAATTCAACTTGTTAAAAAAGAAAATATATTTCAAAGACAGATAATACGTGCATTTTTACAATATTATATTATTTCAATTAAACATTGTAATTTTATATTCCTGCCAAACAAACCAAATAAGGTAATATAACATTCCCAATAATATATTAAATAATATAACATTCCGATAATTTTATTTCAAAAAATAATCTTATATTTCATAAACCAAACTACACTTAATAATTATCGGTTTGTATCTATAGGAATTCAAGACCATAGCTCCAAGAAATCTTGAGGCCTTGAAATACTCCCCATAACTCAATCAGCAGAACGTTTGTGTCTCTGGTATTCTTGCAAAAACTCAACATACAGTTGTCATCACAATTGTGGAGTACTCCAATTGAACTAGCTCATGTAGATGGTCTAACAACTCCTTCAACATTAAGTCAACGGTTAATCAAAAAAAAATTATAGATAAGATCAATATAAATATAAAAAAAAATCATCTAACATAATTTATAGTATACATTTTTAATTTAAAACTATAATAACAATTATATATATATATATATATATATATAGATTAAATCTAGAAAAAATATATCAGTTGGAGCAATATAATTTTCTTAAGATAATCCATACATATTTTTATTTAGGGTAAACTACATATTTGGTCATTCACCTATTATTTAATTTATGTTTTGATAACTCAATTATTATTTTTTTTTCAAAATCATACTTAATGTTACATTTTGATTCTGTTTTAGTCGCATGTTGTTAAAAAATTAACAGTGATGCTAACGTGACATTTTTAATTATTTTCCAATCATGATGTGGCATTATCTATGGTGCACATCAACATCATTGTTAATTTTTTAAAGACGGGTGACTAAAACATAACCAAAATGTAACATTTGATATGATTTAAAATAAATAATAGTTGGATGATCAAAATAAAAACTAAATAATAAATAGGTAGCCATATAAGTAATTTACTCTTTTTCAGGCATAGGATGGGCCATGACCTAAGTAGGCCTATGCTTAGATACACCACTGATCAAGGCAACACCAGCCATACGGTGGTCTAAACCATCTATGTTATGACTTAAGTGTTGATATCCTCTTAAGTACTAAGAGCGATATTGAGCAAATCATGGACGAGTATATCAAGTTTTAATTCATTTTTATTTGAATAGATTAATGAGGTAGTAGTTTGACAAATAGTCGAAACCTTCAAAAATTATTTCTACTTAGAATAAATTCCACGACAGTGATAATTGAGGTTGAACTCATAAAGTGATGTTAGATTAATTATATAAAATAAACGAATAGATTAACAATTTTGTATAATGTTAGTTAAATTAAAATTCAATAATAAAAAGATATCCAATCAATAAAAATCATGAGATTTAATTCATGATCTCATTAAGAATTTCAAGATTATCAAATAATATTTATAAAAAATCAGTTTTCAATCAAATTATGATGTATTGATGATAAATATTAATTTAATCTTATTAATATTAAATCACAGATTCAATTTCGGATGATCCCTCCTCTCTTATCAAAATAACATCAATATCAGTTCATTTGAAAGAAGCACACATTGATAATTAAAGATGAAGAAAGCACATTTGGAAAACAACACGCTTCAATGGAGCTGAATGATTTGCCCTTGCTAGGAAGCATTTTTGCATTTGATTGATCCAAGAGGTGAAGCAGCAAGAAATCTCGACGAACTGCATCTCAGTGTCCCGATAAGATTTACCAACTGAGGACAAGGAAAAAATATGGTAAATACCTATCATCATCTCTTACGAATACAAGTAATAATAATAATAATTTAAAAATGGAGATATTAGTTTAGAAACATAAAAATAGATAAATAACTCACAAGTCGTCGTAAAAGCAGGGAGGGCGGTGCACTTTATAGAAATCTTCTCTTCCATCCATCACTTTGATCCCTTCTACCACACCAAACGAACCTTCTAATTTCAGTTCTTGGAGAGTAAAAATATACTTCAACCCTTCTGGGATCTTGATCAAGTTTGAAGTCTCCTCCACGCATAAACTCCGGAGTTGTGGCATTGCACCTTCTTCTATCTTCCACGAGGATAAGAAGAGTAGATCATACATTTTAAGAGAATCGAGTTGAGGAAACCCATTGGCAGAGCAAATCATTTGACTCCCGCTGTATGATCGAGATCCTAATTTAAGAATCCTCAAACAAGGCAGCTTTTCTAATACACCCATTGGATCCTGATTCATCCAACAGTTCGTCAAAGATAACTTGACAATATTTTGTGGAAGAAACTTCAGAACATGATGGCTCCCTTGCGGATCTTTTTTCATAAACCCGTCGAACTTCAGTTTGGACAGACGATGACATTGAGAGAGAGGTTCCAAGTCTGGATACGATGGGGTTAAACCTTGTTTAAACTTGATGTACAATGATGCAAGGCGTTGTAATTTCATCAGCGAAAGTAGGACAGGCTTCACGTCTTTTGCCCTATTGAATGTCATTCCTAAACTCTGAAGATTACTCAATCGTGGCAATGACTTGTTTCGAATCAACTCCTCATCCACTCTTATGTCTTTTAAAGTTTCAATACTTTTTGGAATCAATCTTGGGCGCATATGCGATGTACCTTTCCAAGACTCAGAACGCAGTTCAATATGCCTCAAATGTTCCAACTCGAATGCAACATCAGGAATTACAACAGAGCCACTATGTCGGAGGTATAAAGTGTATAAACTCTTCAACATTCCAATATCCTGGGGCAAGATTATTCCTTCACCTTGTAACTTCAAATACCTCAACTGTCTGAGGTTTCCGATTTCACTAGACACACTCCACACCTTAACATCCATTCTCACGAGATTCAACACCCTTAAAAATTTGAAATTTTTGCATTCTGAAATGTGCAGTTTTATCAATTCCTCATTCTGAAACAACAACAAAGAACGTAATTTAGGATGTTTTCCCTTCACACAAACATACCTTTTGCTAGGATGAATAGCAATTCTTCGTAGCATAGATTCTGTCAGTGTCACATCGGCTTCAGTCGACGGTGGCTTAACAATTTCAAAGAAATTCTCCTCTCTTGCTTTATCTATGCACAAGTCCCTCAAAAGATCATGTATTCGGCATGTTTTCACTTTTCTCCCCGTAGAGTCTCGCCTGCCGAGTTGAACCAAACTTCTATTCATGAGCTCGTCCAGGATTTGTTCGCCCTCATCCTCCATCAACATTTCCGTGCTTTCCGGAGATGGTGAAATGAAATCTTCAGCGATCCATAATCGAATGAGTTCCTTCTTTGATATCTCCCAATCTTCTGGATAATGACCAAGATAAAGAAAGCATGGTTTTAAACGATGAGGCAAATCATTGTAACTTAAAACCAAGATTTCATTCACTGCGCCATATTGATGGCCTTGTGGTTGTAACCCTTTCAATGGTCCTTGGAAGATCTTTCTGTGAACCATCTCCCATTGATCCTGTGTCTGTTTAGTTGCTAGCAAGCCTCCCAACACAACAATTGCTAGAGGTAGACCTCCACATTTTTTCACCATTTCTCTTCCGAGATTCTCAAATGCTTTGGGGCAAGCATGATTATCAGTCTTGTTTCGTGGTGATGCTTTTGTGATAAAAAGCTTCCAACTTTCATCATCGGTAAGAATTGGAAGCTCTATTGGAGAGTGCCAAGGATCCGCATATAAAGCCACATCCTTGTTGCGTGTTGTGAATAGAATTTTGCTTCCTTTTTTTCCTCGTGGAAAAGCAGGTTTAAGAATACCCCAATCCTCACTTCTCCAGATATCATCGAGGACCACCAAGTATTGTTTTTCTTTCAAAGCATCGTAAAGCTTTTTAATCAACTGATTTTCATTCAAGTGGTTAAATGATTCTCCTCCAGGCTGAACCTTCATCAGGACATCAAGTAAAACTTCTCTTGGGTTACATTGTTGAGATATAAAAACCCAAGCCAAGCAATCAAAACGCCGATTCACATCAACGTGTTTGTATACTTTTTTGGCAAGAGTAGTCTTTCCGATGCCTCCCATGCCGACTATTGAGACGACGGCATGGGATCTGTCTTCTTCCTTCATCAACTGGGCCAGGACATCCTTGGTGCTAACCTCCAAACTAACGACATCCTCTTCTTCAACATGCGAGAATGTTCTTCTTAACTGCTGCTGCATACTGGAAATAGAGCTAGATCCTGCTCCATCACCAGGTATCTTATAAACTGAAAGCCTCCTTGAAATATTTTCGAGATTGGTCTGGAATTTTTTGATCTCCACCCCGGTTTTGTGTAGATGAGAAGGCTTGGTGAAAATGCAGGTGAATCTCTTGACAACTGCATGAAAAAATCCTCGGCGGGCCTCTTTAAGAAATTCATCTTGGTGTGGATGTTCAAGAATGAATGAGTCGATGACATCTTCAGCATCGTAAACGAGATCTCTTATTTTCGACACCCGATCACGGAGAAGCTTGTCTTGTGCCTGCTGCCGGTCAACGTCCTCCAAGAAACTCTTCATACACTTCAGTTCATCCTTTAGGATACTAACTTGTTCTTTCACATCTTTCAGGAAAAGTGCTTCATTGATGAGTAAATCGGAAATTTTTTCAACAACCAACCCAATAGCATCTGCCATTTTCTTTTGCCAGTACTCTTCTTTGTTTTCTAAGTCAGAGATCCTCTTGATCTTGATTATTTTTCTTTTGTTCTGTGTATTTGCTGAACAACTGTATACTTTTTAATTTATAATCCCTTTTCTCTTTCTTTGGTTCCAATGGACGGCATAAAATACAAGCTGATTCTTTCCACTACGTCTAATTCTTATTATTTTTTCCAGCACCAATCATGTGCATTGTAGACTTCTTGGGATTTAATTTTCTTATCATCACATGGGAGCTTCAACCTCAATTTTCTTAGTTAATAATCTCAAGACAGCACATGAATTGCCATTAGAAATCCAGTTGTCTTGAATTTGAGATAGAAGACAGCGGAATGATAACATTTTAAAGAAATTGCCAACCTAGACCAAACAATTACTTATACAACGAATTATGGGATATGTTAAAGATACAACTATCTTAAGAACATTTCATTCTAAGAACATCTCCAGTGAAGCATCGAACACAGCGTCCACTTCGGCGGGATTCGACTTAGGCTTGAATGCTTTCGGTCGTGAAGTATGCTGATAAAATGACGTTGCACAGAAAATCATTAATCTGTAAATAGCTGAAAGCCAAAGTAGAATACAATGTAAATTGCAGGTATAAAATAAATATTTCAATACCTTGGACAAAAATGATTCAAGAACAGCAACAACATTCACAAGTGAAGGGTCCAATCCAATTTATTATTTAGCTTCTCTAGTAGTTGTATCGTCATCGTCTTTATCAACTTCCTCTACTTTCTTACCTGGCAATGAAACTTCCCCTGCAACCAAGTACACGATAAACCATTTTACTACAACTCAAATCTAGCACACAAATTCAAACGACCTTAATGAGTAGACATTCTTAAAGCTCTTTTGGTTAGTATGAGACGCAAATCCCCGGTATCTCCGTCAAAGAGACATATCAAAACAACAGATGTTTTTGGTCTAAACTTTTTCGGCTTCTTCCTAGATGATTTGTCCAACGTTGTCATCCAAGGAACTCGTTGGTGCCTTGTAATGACGCGGCTGTTGAGCCAAAGCTAAGAGTCTCTGCAATGGAAACGAAGGCAACCCGCCATTCGGTAAAGAAGTTAATGAAGCCACGAATGGAGAAGAACATGAAGCCAAAATCTGCGTTGTACGAATTAGTATACACAGGAAAAGGAGCTAATTAATTTTCTTTTTGAACTATAAAATTTTAATACTTACTTTCTGGATTTATGAATGATAAGCTTGGGGGAAAAAAGGAGAGAAAGAGGCAAGGGCAGGTCAAAATGGTCTCGTGTGGTCAAATGATAAAAAAAAAGAGTCAGATTAACGTGCTAAATCAGCTTTATGTTATCCAAGTTAACTGTTGTTAACATCAAGTGATCAATTTGTTATAAATCGATAACGTTAGTAATTAATTTGTTACTTTTGAAACTTTAGTGGGAAAAATAAAAACTTACTCAAATATTAGTGACTATTTATATAATTTACTCTTTAATAAATTTTGTTCTAGTAAAGACGAGACTTTCTCGTGGAAGCACGTAGTTAGGTTCGTAAATGAATAAAGTATTTGTGAAGTTAAATAAACGAATATGAATAAAAAATTTATGTTAATTTAGTAAACAAGCGAACACGAACATAGGTTTGTTCACTGTTCGGTTCGTTTATGTTTATGAAAAAACTCGTTTATCAACTTGTTCGTTTATGTTCATAAACAAGCTTGTTTAGTGGCTTACATAGAAGCTCGTTTACTTTTTATTTTTTTACATTTTAAATATTGGTGAATATATGGACTAAATTAGCGTACATGGTAAAATTTGGAGCTTAAAGATTGTATTTTCTTATTGTTGTGGATACTATATAAGATTTATTTAGTTAATTTTGTTTAATTTCTAAATATATAAATGAATATGTTCGAGAATGCTAAACGAACATATTCGCAACACATATAAACGAACACAAAATGAATGTTAAATGAACATGTTAGTGAACGTTAAATGAACGAACACGAATCGAATATGAACACCTTCAAAAATAAACAACTAAACATGAACATAACTTTATTCGTTCAAACTCGATTCATTCACACCTCTCTATATACCTGGCATTCTCATCTAAATATACTCATTTTTTAAATTATTTATCGAAATGACTTTTTTTCTCTGATAAACGAAATAAAAAACATGACCAGCATGAAATGTTTTCGTCAACGTAACACGATCATAGAAAAGATATGATCGATGAAACATGCCTTTGTTAGATTTTAGGAAAGCTGACCTGATTAAAGATCAAAATGAAAAGTAACGGGAAGGTAAGAAGACAAAATCACATGGATTTTGTTCAAAAATATATATAACATGAGCATTACGTATTGAAATCATTTGTTACAAGTCACATAAAAAAATAATACGTTACAAGCGAACGTTAAGTGATAATAATAACACATATAAAAATACGATTTTTAATCACTTAATAAATATATGTTAAAAAGATTATATTTATATGGATGAAAACTTAATATCTAATGAAAGTGGAATTTCTATCACCAAATTTCACATTAAAGAGAGATTGATTTTTTAATATTTAAATATAATTTGTAATATGTATTCATTAAACGATTGAATGTTATATATTTTTGAACAAGTTCATTCTTTTTCACTTTCTTCATTTTAGTTCTTAATCGTGAGAATTTACCTAGAAGGCATACTTAGAAAGAATGTTATTTCGAAAATTAGTCTTGAAAAAATATTATTTTCATAATTAATTTTTGTTAAAGTATATTTGGGTAAAATTATCCATATACCCGTCCAAATTGATATGAAGACCATATTGTGGATTAGGCTAGGCCTCAACAAAGCCTGAATTATTCCAAATGAATATGAACCAGACATTAATTCCAAACCTGGTCATGTACAACCCATGACAGTTTTACACGTACATGTATGAAAGTGCGAAAATTTACAAATATATTAAAATGTATATTTCATATTTTATTTCAATTCTTAGTAATCTTATTATTATGTAATTTGTATTAATCTATATAAAGAAACCAAAATATTATTTTTACAACAAGAAAAATAAAATAAATGAATTACGTGATCACTACCGTTTAAAGTTTTGAACCCAAGAACATATCAACGGATTGCAACTCTTTCAAGCCCACTCTCTCTCTGCATATCTGATGGTATGCCTCCTCAGCCACAGCTGATACATCACCATATGAAACGCATCGTACGGCTGCGGCGTCTGGTTCCACACGAAATGCTTACTCGCCACAGCAGCGTATTCCCTCATATCCTCGAACTCTTCCACCACCACGCGCCCCAAAACCCTCTTGATCTCCTTGGCCCCACCGCTTGTTCCCACGAACACCGCGATCCGCTGCCACTTCAGCAAGTCCATCAACGGCATATCCTGGATCGGACGGTCCGTAATCACCACCGGCACGCACCCGAAACTCATCGCTTCTCCGATCGCCGATATCTCCGACCCGTACTCGAATAAACAGAACTTGCTCCCGGCGAGTCTTTCCTCATAAGCCATCTGATCGGACGGCTCAGACTCAACCAAAATCTCGGGATCAGCTAAAAGCTGCTCCACCAAACTCGTCTCTTTCACCCAATTATACCTCACGTAACCCAGATAACTCGTGCTCTTTCTACCCGGAGCTTGAGTCGGCGCGTGAACGTTAGCAAGCGGAGGCAAACTAACATCCTTATGAGGAATAAACAGCCCAGGCATCGTCGGGAAACACGAGATCTGAACCGAATTTTTCTTCAACTCCACAACGTTCCGGTCCGAACCGTGGCCGACACTGGAACAAGAGAGGAAGAAATGATCGGCTCCGAGAGTTCGGTTCCAATAAATAAAATCCGTACGGTAATCCCCGACGACACGCGCGGCGGACTTAGTGGAGAGGTCGGAGTGGAAAGCGAAGGGGATGAAGAACAAATGGGCCTCTTCGGGATTCTGGGTGATGAAGTTGCTGCGGATGAGGGAAGAGTAGAAGAGGGATTCGACTTTGGAGTCAAACGACAGCGATTCGGGAGGCGGGTAAGTGTAAATTTTGAAGCTTTTCACCATTTTTTGGTAATTCTGGGGGAGAATTGTGGGGGAAAGGTAAGGGGAAGAGGTGAGAGCAGTGGAAAGTGAGAGGAAAGAAAGGAAGAAGACGAAGAAGAAACAGAGGAGAGACATTTCTTGGATTGGGAAAAGATTTTTGGTTGAATATTTGGGAATTGTTTGGAAGAATTTAAAAGGGATTTTGGAATTTAATTACGTTTGAGAGAGGAAAGGTGATGGCATTGGCACATGAAAATTGGGTGACCCAAAATGTCTATTTGCGATGCTTACACAAATGGATTTTAATCAAAATAATTAAATACTATGAAAGGTATATCATAAAATTTCATTTAACTTTTATTATAAAACATCAATCAAATCAATTATATTCGACTAAGATTGGTTTCCATTTTTTATAAATGAAGTTTTCTTGTTTTTAAATTCCAGTATGTTATAAATGAAGAAAAGAAGACCTCGTATACAGGTGCTCTTTTTCTTTTATTTTTAGTTTTTTTCTTGGAAAAGTTAGTTTAGAATAATTGCAAATTTGTTTTTATTAATTATTTAATTGAAATTATGCAGTTCCCGAAGGGAGTATGCAAATTTTCCCTCCAAATAATGGAAGGGGCGGAAGTACAGGCCCAGGCTATCAAACTCTTGAAGCTCCAACTGGTATATTAAACTTGGTTAATTTATCACTCATTTTTCACCTATGAAATGTTATGGTGAAATTGAAAATCTGCTATATTTGAATGATTAACGTCTTAAAGAGTGGCTTTTGTAAGGAAAATCTGTTATTGATGTTAACTGAAAGAAAGAGAAGCTTTCAAAGTAATGGCATTAGAGTTGAAATATTGGAAATTTGGTCACTGTACTGAGTGAATCTTCATTTTGGAAGTTAATTCTGGTATCTTAGAGAACTTTATTGAGAAAGTTTTATGTTCCCAATGCCCTTTAAGTTCGAATGGAGAGAATACACTGCATTCATCGTCTCGTTCCTTTTTACATTCTGGTATAGTTGCCTTCTATTTTCATAGTCACAGATTTTCCTTTTGTAACATCTTCACATAGTTGATGTAACCAAAATCTCTATCAGTTCTGAAAGAAACCTTCACATGATGCATATGCCATTTTTGTGGTATTGTTTGTGTGTGTGAATGTGTACATATATATTAACATTCTTCGAGTATTCTCTTCCTTTACTTATTTGATTGTGTGTCCTTCTCTTCTAACTAAGGAACATAGACTATTGATTTTGCATTCATGTTCTAAAACACCTTAGGCTTAGGAGTTAGGATATTGTGGATAAGTTACTATCAGCAGCATTGCAGCTTGATGTAATTCACTTATGGTAACATTTTAACGCTTTTATTTAGTGTTGTTGAAGGAATGTTATTATCCCTTTATCTACTCTATCCTATACAGAAAGTTTGGAACAACAGCCACCAAAATGCTGGAAGGGAGTGTTTAGTATCTCATCATACACACAGTATTTTAGTGTGGATACAAACGTGGTAATAAACAGAATGATAAGTTCCTTATATCCTACCATTGGAGATGTTTTCAGCAAGATCAATGCGAACCCTGATCTGTGAGTATGCTTACCCTTCCTTTCTCGACTCCTTGCAAAGTAGCTTCTGTCAAAGCTTCATTTGTCTTGATTTTTGCCATATATTTAGGTATGGGCATATCTGGATCACAACCACATTGGTTTTTATGCTTTCTTCCTTTGGAAACTTTGCCACATACCTTATGCAAAAGCATACTGATGCCACTGCTTCTTGGAGCTTTGATGTCGGCTATGTAAATGTAGCGGCTTCTGGTATCTGTGGTTATGCAATTGTGGTGCCAATGGAATTTTACTTCTTGCTTCAATATCTGGGTTTAAAGGCTAGCCCTGTACGATTTTGGTGCATGTGGGGTTATTCTCTCTCCATTTTCATCCCAACTGTGGTAAGTTTTTACTTTCTATTGAAGTCCAAAAGCTATCTACTTGTGAATTATTCTCTCTTTATTTCTATGAACGAGGGAACCTTAAATGCTAATTCAGTTATATTTTGCATCATTTTGGAGCTCAAATATATTGATCGTTTTGCAGTTCCTACTGCTTATTCCAGTCGAGTTTCTCCGATGGATGATTATACTAATTGCCGGTACGGTCTCAGCATGCTTTGTTTACTTGAATTTAAGATCTTATATCGATGGTGGTTGCTGCCTTCTTGTTGCAAATGGCCCTTGCAGTCTTCATCAAGGTCTGGTTCTTTCCCTAAACCACACTAAGTCATCCTATATGGTCTGAACACTGCTGTGGATTCTCCGATACTGGAATTACACAAAACCAAAACATGTAACAGAATTGAGATCTAGGGGTCGATGTTTCAGTGAGGCGTTGCGGTGCCACTAATTCGGTTTTGAAGTTGAAGGTGGTTGATCTAATTGACGAGGTGTTGTTTGCCTACCACTAATTCTCTTTTGGACATGGTTATGTAAATATAGGTTGTCATGGTCTTCATTTGTCAACTGTAATTGTTTTTCAAACTGTGTCAAAGATTTGGCTCCTATGAAATACGAACAATAACTAGCATAAAGTTACTAGGTAGACTCTCTCATTTGCCATAGTAGAACCATAGTCCTACCCATTTTAGATATTCGGGTCAATATGTGGAATGCATTAACTGTCTGTCTTTGGTGGGGCAATGTGGGTAGGGTAGGATATGGTTAAGTCAACATTCTTAAAATTAGGTGAGAGTAAAACTCAATCTCGCTAAAAAAATTTAGTTTTAAATTTCAATATATTCGAGTTGAGTTATTTGAATTGTTCGAGCTATTCGAGTTAATTTAAATTTTTTGTTTAGATTTCGAGTTTAAATCAAGTTTGAATCTTTAGAGTTTGAGTAATCAAAAATTAAAACCATATTCTTTTGATCTTTAGTTAAGTAATTTGATTTTTTTGTGATTTGATCATGGTTTCTTTGTTTATTCAATTCCTTATTCGAGTTTAAGTTTATTTTGAATAAATTTGAACCACATGCTACTCAATTATAATAGAATATTTGTGAGACTTCAATTATTCTTTTTGACAACATTTTTTTTCAATTTAATCTCTCGACTTTATATTTTATTCAATTTGATCATATGACTATAACTTTTTGGAAGTTCTTTCTTTTCATTAATTCTTCAAAGTCCTTTATACACTTGTCAACTCTTTATCTTCAAAAATCTTTTTTTTTAAAATAATATTATAAATATATTATATGATTTTAGATGGTATTTGATTATTAAATAACATTACAAATCTTACTTACATGTAAAAAAATATGAAAATATGTGTATATCATATGCACATAGAGACTCGTTTTAATTAGAATCAATAAATATCATAATATTATAAAAAAAATTACTTTTGAACTTAAACAAAAACTTAAAGAAATATATTCAATTCAACTCAAATTTCATAATTTGACTCAACTTGAATAAAAATAAAATTTGAATGACTTAATAATACTTGTAAACTCAACTAATGTAAAATTTTCTATTTGATTCAACTCCATCTAAAATTTATCCCTATTATAAGTATGAATGTATGATGGATGAGACTTGAATCTTACATAAGAAAGCATGATGCTCAATCTAACGTGAGTCCAACCGTTCATGACCCGGGCCGTCTTGGTTCGGCTCAGTCTTTACTCTCAAAGACTAGACCCATCCCACTTATAATAATTAATTAAAGAATTGTAGTTAAATTAATGATTTATTAAATTGTATTAATAATTAATAATAAAGTCATAATTGGTAGGAGTATCTGATTTGCACGTTTTCTATTTTCTTTTTTGGTTTCATCCAATAGGCTAATTAGTTAGAGATAATTAAAATAAGGGTTTTTGACTTTGAAATGAGTGTTTGTTTAATTGTTTTCGTTTCCCATTTATTGAATCTAATCTGCCTGTCTTTAGTCGTATTCCAAATGCACTATCTTTACTTATTTTTTTAATCAACTTGGACTAAAATTGGAATTTTATAAACTCTAGATGACTATAAAGTAATCATTTTGCTAAGGCGGATTTTCCATTTTAAAACATTTTCCCCCCTTGCATCGAGCTGCTTTTGCTAGTATTTGACTTCAATTTTTAATAGTTGAAATAAATCAAATATTAAAAATTGCTATTATTATCGCTAACGATCAATCAAATTTTAAAAGCTAAATCGAATAAATGAATATAAAATTAAAAATAATAATTACGTCTCTATTGATAAAATTACAAATTGTGTAAGGGGTAATATTATAGAAGATCAATTAAAATCATGAAAAGGATCTTTATCTTGATCATACCATCGGCTATCATATTAGTTTCACTATAAATTTAATTAATTTATGTTATTTAATTTTTGACACGTAGATTGAAACTTATTCACCGATGATAATAGACTGTGATTAACATCTAAATCAATAATCAATTTTATAGTTTGTGTACAATCAATTAAAATTTGGAAAATATATTGACAACTGGACCAATATAATGATTTGATTAATATGGTATTAATATTTTAACGATTAATATTAAATATTTTAAAATATAGATATTAATATATAATCTAAACGATAATTTAAAGACGTTAGATACAATTAACTCTCGAGAAAAATCCGAAAAATCACAGATTGTTTTTTTTTTGTCCCATGTGGCCCACTGTCAGTGGCGCCTCATCCACTACCTACTGTTTTTAATTTAAACCCAAATATATAATCCAAAAAGCCCACTAACACTTCTCAACCTCAAAACAGCTTTCTCTTCTCCTCTTTGAAAGCTCAAGCTTATAAAAACCTATTTCCAGATTGAAAATAAAATCCATTACTGACTCACTGAGTTGAACACAGCAAACAATGGCCGAGGATAGTTCCAGAGATTTTGTCAAGGACGTCAAGCGTATAGTCATTAAGGTTTGCTTCTTTTTTGTCGTTTTTCTTTTTGTTGCTGGCGTTGTTTTAAGTTTTGACTTTTTGATTAGCTTATTGTGATAAGGAAAGTAGAAACGAACTGATTTGCATGTTTAGTGGATTTATGTTGGTTTCAATTGGAGTGGAGGGGGTGTTTGGATACTAGGAAAGATGTGGAACTGCAAAAGAAAATGAACGCCTCGATTTCCTTTAAGTTATCTATTGTAAAAGAGAGAGTGCACTTTTTTGGTACCTAAAACATGTTTTCTTTTATAAAGAAAAAAAAGATGGCAGAAATGAAG